ATTCTTGACCGACTCGAACGGAAGGAGAGTAGCAGTATGTAACATGTCCCTCTGTCAGTGATTCTGCCTGGAATGTCAAGTCTGAAATCGAATAGGCATTTGGCTATCACGCTGGGTTTGCTGGGTACGTCTCCTTCATATCGTCCTTCTCCCCCCCCCCCCCCCTTCCCTTGTCTCAAGGTGCAATACTGCCTGGGTGGCACTCCACTTTGGACAGTGTTTCGATGACCCCTTCTACTTCTTCAGAGAGTAATTGCTAATCGTTTGGATTGAACAGTGCTGCTTTAGCAGTCATAAACTGGTAAACCCCCCCCCCCCCCCTATGGACTCCCAAACTTGCTTTTTGGGACTTTACTGTGGGTGCCGAGAAGACTTATCTCAGTTATATTGCAACAACGACAAAACAACTTCCCCCGGCACCCCCAAAGCTTTTGCTTAAAATAGCCAGGTCTGACCCAAAGAGCATTGCAGGGCATGGCAAATCAACCATCCAGACCAGCCACTTCCATCTGTGTCATCATATCCCAACGTCGACGCCTTGATTACCGACGTCAAGAAGGCTCTCGCACAAGGAGCTGAGAAGACGGGCAAAGCACCAAGAGTGCTTATCATTGGAGCTTTAGGGCGCTGTGGCAGTGGTGCAGTTGACCTGTGCTCGAGAGCTGGTATCCCAACCGAGAACGTCCTTCGGTGGGATATGGCAGAGACAGGTAATAAAATCACAGTCCAGAGTTTTACACTGAAAAGTGAAAAAAACAACTAACAGACGCAAACAGCCAAGGGCGGCCCCTTTCCAGAGATCGTCGAGAGCGACATCTTCATCAACTGCATTTACCTCAACACGAAGATCCCCAACTTTGTCGACATGCAATCGCTCGACACACCGAGCCGCAAGCTGTCCGTCGTCTGTGACGTTTCCGCCGACACGACAAACCCAAACAACCCGATCCCCATCTACACGGTCGCAACCACATTCGACAAACCCACCGTTCCTGTCGAGGTCAAGGGCGAGCCGGCGCTCAGCGTCATCAGCATTGATCACTTGCCGAGTTTGTTGCCCCGAGAGGCAAGCGAGGCCTTCAGCAACGATCTGTTGCCCCATTTACTGGAGCTCAAGAATTGGAGGAGTAATCCTGTGTGGGCCGGCGCGGAGAAACTGATGCGAGAAAAGGCTGCCACTTTACCACAGAGCGAGTTAGTATAAAATTTTTGAAAGAGATGAGGGTTTCTCGCTGGCGGATTCTCGTCGATAAAATGTGAAAAAGTTTGCCGATTTCGATCGCTTGGTGCGTATGTATCGAGTATTGAGTAAAGGGAAAGAGGGAATTCCTTTCATCGAATGCCCATTGGACGCGCTTACCCTGCAGGGTCCTTGTCCACTTCGTTTGTTTGATGTTTGATACAACACCACACCATCCAGCCATCCATGAATTGCTCAGCAGGAGACAACTCGCTCGCGGTGCTTGAGATTGGCAATTGGTAAAAGCAAAGCAGCGAGCGAGCGAGCGAGCGAAAACGGCCCAGTCAAAGTTTGGCTTCGGCTCGAGCTCTCTACCGACCGCGTTGCCACGTCGTGCTGCGTGCATTGAAAGAAGGAACATGCGAATCTAGGTAGTCGCCAGGCCAGGCTTTTCTTGCGTTGAGCAGAAATGGAAGGCTGCTTTTATGAAGGTCGATTTGTCAGGGCCTGGCTTCTCCTTCAACCCAAAAGATCGTCCTCAGGCCCAAAGATAAAAAATTAGAGGAGTGGGTGGTCGAGAATCCGATGGCGAACTGTGCCTATTATTTCCAAGGCTGAAAAAGAAATAAAATCATACGGTACATTTATCTCTACCGCCCACAAAACACTTTTTATTCTACTGTCCCTGACCCTGTCCCTGTGCCCGCCGCTGTTCTTCCACTTGTCTCTGCAGCGCCGCTGCGATCGCCGGGTTACTGGCCCAGGCTCCGGAGAGGTAATTCTGCGGTCCGCCCTGGTACTGGCCCAGGTGCTGCTGTTGCTGTTGCTGTAACTGCTGCTGCTGGTGAGGGGCGAAATTGCCACCAGGGAACAAGGGCGGTGGAGGCATGCCTGGCGGGGCGACGAATGGTGCAAAGTTGGCCGGGGGTTGAAAGCTCTGGCCAAAGTTGAACGAGACATTCGGGAGAGGGGTGATGGGTGAAGGCGTCATTGGTGGGTATGTTATGTTTTGCGGTGTTATGGAAGGCGTCGTCGGGACGTTGAGACTAGGCAAGGGTGCGGTGGACGATGGGTTGTACCCATTTTGATGGTTGCTGCGGGATGCATTATACTGACCGAACGGAGGCTCTCGAGGCTGCTGAGGCTGGTGCTGATTGAAACCTCCCCGTCCACGTTGCGGCCGGAATGTTCCTCGACCCCCTCGCCCGTGACTGTAGCCTCTCCCTCGCCCACCCGACTCCCCTCCTCTGAAATGCGAAGTTTGGGGAGGCGGTGGAAGTGGATGCGTCATACCGCGATCCCGGAACGCCTCTTGAGGCTGCTCCCCTTTGGCGACCATCTCTGCGAGATCAGGCGGTCTTTGCAATGGCGTATAACCGTCGTCGCCGGCATCTGGCACCGGGGCATCGTCATAGTTCATTTCCAGGGAGCCATTGCCGTAGGCGGAGCCATCACCGGGGTTGCGCTGACGATGATCAGCATGATGACCTCCTCGGCCCCCGCCACGATGCGACCCTCTAGAAAACTTCGAGTTGCCACGGCCCCTGCCTGGCTCCAGCGACCTCCCCTGCCTCTTGGCCTTCATCTGGCGCTTGTGCTCGGCCTCAGCCTCGTCATCTGAGAACTCCATCTCGTCCTCACCAACTTCCTCGTCGTGGAAATTCGACGCGTCACTTCCCTTGACACCCTTCAGGGGTTGGGTGAAGACAAACGTGGAATGTTGAGGGACGTAGAAGACTGTGGTGCCAGTTTCGGAAACCCCGGCGCTTTTGATATCGTCATCGTTGGTGAACCGAATCGTGTATCTGGGTTCCTCGACTCGTCCAATCAAGTCGGCAACCACTCCAATCACCGATCGGTCCTTGAGACAAATCAAGGATCCAGGTTCCAAGACTTGATATTCTCCCGACGTCTGGGCCTTCACAACGACCGTACTCTCGACCACGAATTCAACGTTGCCCAGTTCTTCAATCTTCATATCTTCTGTGACAGTAATGTTCGGTTTGGGTATGACTTCTTCCACACGTTCATTTGCCGTCCGGAGTGGACCTCCCTCTTTTCTGTCTCGGGGTCCTCCTCCTTCGTCATCCGAACCTGCATCACCTTGCATGAGTATTCTTGCCGTCTCCTCGGGGTCCAGCATGGCGTAGTCGCCGTCAGCATCCTCGTCGCTGTCTTCCTCCGACGACGTATCCTCAGAGGTGTCGGAGTCGGAGTCTGAAGAGGACTCGTAGGGGGATGAATCGATTTCCCACTCGGCACCCTCCGCACCTGGTTGGGGTTCATCGGCGCCGTCAGGGAAGGTTGAATCTATTGAGTTGAGACCGACGACGGTCGGTGTATCCGTAGCATTGCCCACAGTGGGTATCGAGACATTGGCGTCTGGTTCAACGTGCATAACGCCGCCTTGCTGCGCATCGTGTTTTTCTGTCACGTCCATTGTCTCAACGTCACCCGCGCCAGTAGCATCCTGTGCAGGCTCCTGAGTTGTAGTGGCTGGGTCCGTCGTATTTGCCTGCGGAACATGTCCTCCATCTTCAAACTTGTTATGTTCTCCGTCGATCAGCATAGGCTGGGTTTCACTGGCTTCTCCAGCAGGGTCCGAGGAAGGTCTTGCGGTGGCTGCGGCCTCCGCCTCGACTTGCAGCATCAATGCATCTAGAAGAGAATTCGAGCCGGAATGTTGGGTGGTATGCTCTTCGCTCTTGTCCAAATGGCCGGATGTTATCTCTGGATCGGTCTGTAACTCCGCCGCTGACTCTGCCATGGGAACGCTCTGCTCGGCAGCGGGCTGCTCGTTGACGGTACCATTTTGCTCCGTTGGGGCTGCCGACTGGGGAGGATCGAGGTTACTTCTGGTTTCTTCTGGAGAGCCTGTCCTCTGACGCTTAGCAGGAGATGTTGGGAAGTCTTCGGCGTCCATGCTTCAGTGATAGACTGGGAATGGGCCGTAAACTGTTGTTTGGTATTTATGGAAGGACGATTAATCGCGTCCTAAAAAAAAGTTTCTGTAAATGCGGAGAAATCCAAGAGGGAAAATTAGCTGCGGCTAATGGCCACTCGGAACAGTTCCTCGCCGACTTGTCCCGTTTCACTCCCGCTCAATCCTCTTCAATACTTATGGTTGCGGCGAGTTGATAAAAGATGGTCTTCCTTCCTTCCTGGTCATGAGCTCGACAAAACCTGTCAATCCTGTGCGCATCATTCAAGCATCAACGTGAAGTGTCGCCTTTCTCGTACTCTGCCGCTGAGACTGCTCTAGTCAATGGCCGACGAAGCGCGATTCCGATCAGATGACATCGCTCTATCAAGACTTTCTTCACAGGACCCTCTTTCCGACAGAGGTCTTGACACCGGTAGCCCTCTGTCATCTTGCTCTCTCCCAGAAGATGATGTACCCTTCCTGACAGAGGAACTTGTAACGGAAAACTCAGCAAACGATGAGTTGTCCCCTGGACTTGCTCGACGGCTCTATATTTCCCACTTCCTTTCAACATGGAATTTCCGTGGATTCGAGTTCGGCGCTGTTTTGTTCCTAGCCAACATCTTTCCAAACACACTGCTGCCTTTGTCTATCTACGCTCTAGTCCGGTCTCTAGCCGCGATTGCCTTTGCGCCATTAGTCGGACGGTACATCGATACAGGCTCACGTCTCCAGGTTGTTCGCAATTCGATCGTCTACCAGCGAGGAGCCGTCGTTCTTTCATGCGGCGTCTTTTATATCATGCTCTGGCAAAGGCCACACCTCAAAACGGTCAATCTTTACATACTTCTCGCTTTGGGTACTATCCTGGCTTGTGTTGAAAAGCTCTGTGCAATCATGAACACCGTGTCTGTCGAAAGAGATTGGGTCGTGGTCATTGCTGGTGAAAACGAGGCGATTCTCCGAACGCTCAATTCTCAGATGCGTCGCATCGACCTTTTCTGTAAACTCTGCAGCCCTCTGCTCATCGCATCATTGGAAAGTTATGATACAAAAGTCGCCATTGTCGTAATGGGCAGTGTCAACGCCGTCTCTACCATTGCAGAATATTCCTTCATTGAAAGGGTATATGCGGCGGTCCCGAAACTTGTGCGCGGCTGTACGCCTCCCGTCAGAAACCATGGGAGCGGTGATGACCTGGAACAAGAATCGGCGTCCGTTCCACATGATGTTGTCAGACTGTCATTGTGGCGAGATTTGAACATCTACACATCTCAGGGAGCCTTCCTGCCCTCCGTCTCACTGTCCATCCTGTACCTAACGGTCTTGTCCTTTTCTGGACAAATGGTTACCTATCTTCTGGCCAGCGGGTATACCTCGACCATGATTGCGGTGCTGCGTTTGATATCAACTGGGTGTGAGATGTCGGCCACTTGGATGGCACCGTCCGTCATGGGTTTGATTGGGCCCATCAGATCCGGCCTTTGGTTCCTTAACTTTCAGATGGTCTGTCTAGCCATCGCCCTCAGTTTCTTCTGGATGGCAGGGTCGCCAGTATGGGCAGCTTCTGGACTGATCGTCGGCACGATCCTTAGCCGCGTTGGTCTTTGGGGATTTGAGCTATCGGCACAAGTCATTATTCAAGAGCAAGTCGAACCAGAATTCCGTGGGTCTTTCTCGACAACCGAATCCTCGATTCAAAATATCTTTGAGCTCTGCGCATATGCCTCGACCATTGTATTTTCCCAGCCGACCAGCTTCAAATGGCCTGCCACTATATCCGTTGCAGCCGTTTACATAGCCGGAGCCCTTTACGCTAGTTTTGTTAGACGCAGACGCGGTCATTTGGTCCACGTTTCAAGATGCTTGGAAGGCAGAAAACATTCGACCCTGGAATCAGGAAGGATCTATCGACGTTGCAGGTCAGATATCGGATAGCCCAGGGGGTAAATCAGCAAGTCAGACAGGTATCTATCTATATCTCTTGTGGTTCATGTCCGCAATCGAGATTGCAGATCCAGACACATTTGCGCTGCGACCAGTCAAGTAAACCCCTTGGACCTTGCCGCGACTTCACAATAGTTGGTATATACCCATGCTTCCAGAACCTTAGGCCGGTATCCATATCTATGCGATGCACGTAAGCCACTTCGAGGCACTACGGAGGCTCTAGATGGTGCCTCAGCTTCCCGCCGACCAACGCCCACATTCGGTACTTGTCGATTTGGATTATGCGGAGAGCATCTTAGGCATCATCAGCCCCACATGTTGCTGCCACAGCGTCCAGCTTGTCTCTGGTTGCCTTGAATCGACTCCGCCGACACGAGTGTTCCTTGGTCGAGAAACAACTGTCAGTCCCCTATGCAGAGGCACAGATGCTCTCGGGGCGCACGGAGAATCGAATGACGCACTTCATATTGTCAGGGTCCATGAGAGCACATAGTTAGCTTTGGGCCTCCTCGGCCTCCCAGATGTCAGACCGTGCAGCCCGCAAAGAGGAGTTGGTGCATCCAATGGCCGAGGTCTTCCACTTTCCGCAAACAAAGGACACGACCGTAATCCATTTGTATAAGAGATTCGAGGATCCCCGTTACCCCATCACCCAAACAACTTCATCAGGCCTCACTTGGTTTCGTTCTGTTCCTAATAACTGTGTCTATCCATTTGATCTGGGTTTCAAGCATCGGCTCGTTGCAAGATGGCAGGCTACGACACGATCCCGCAAAATGCTGAGTTGAAGGTGGATAAATTCACCTTGTCGATCCCTGACCAGCAACTGTCAGAATTCAAAGACCTGTTGCGACTCTCAAAGCTAGCCCCACGCACATACGAGAACTTGCACACCGATGACGGCGAGTTTGGTGTCAGTTATTATTGGATGAAGAAGGCGAAAGACTATTGGCTGAACCAATATGACTGGTAGGTCCTCATTCAGCGGAACGAGCCATGTACCACAACGACCAGAGACACTGAAGCCCTTGACCTAGGCGTGAGATTGAAAAGTACAACAACTCGTTTCCGAATTTCATCGCCCACATCAAGGACGACGACGGAGAGGATTTCCGTATCCACTTCGTAGGTCTCTTTTCCAAGAAGCAAAATGCCGTTCCGCTCCTCTATATGCACGGTTGGCCCGGTAGCCATCTCGAACACCTCGAAATTATGGACCTATACCGCAACAAATATTCACCAGAAGAGCTGCCTTACCATGTCATTGCTCCCTCGTTGCCAGGATGGACCCTCAGTTCCGGGCCTCCCTTGACTAAGAACTTCACTACCGAAGATATTGCTCGAATCATGAACAAATTGATGGTAGGTTTGGGGTTTGGGAGTGGCTATATATGTCAAGGCGGCGACATTGGTTCTTTCACGGCCAAGGTTATGGCAGGAACATATGATGAGTGCAAAGGTGAGCCAAACATATTCAGCCCACATCCCATCGATCTTGTTGATATATATCTAACTTGTGATCAATAGGTGTACATTGTGAGTGTGATGCTTGCGGCCCCTGTCAGTCCCCAGCTGATGACTTTCCAGACAACTTCGCCGTGTCTAGCGTGCCACCTGAGAACGTGGATGAAAGTCAAATCACCGAGTCCGAGAGGCATGCCATGGAGACACGAATGAAGGCATTCAACACGACCGGAAATGCCTATGCGCGAGAACACGGCACTCGACCGGCGACGATTGGGTTTGTGCTGGCTTCCAGCCCCCTTGCCCAACTCGCATGGTAAGCAAATCCCAACATGATCTGGAAGTGGACATGATGTCGGCGGCCTAAGCATATGGTGGTCAAACCAACTAGATCCTGACATTTGACAGGATCGGCGAGAAATTCATCGAATGGACCGACGAGACACCCCCTCTCAAGAAGATCCTCGACTCCGTCAGTTTGTACTGGTTCACCGAGTCATTCCCACGCTGCATCTACTGCTACCGCGAGGTATGATTCTACCTGCCTGCCATCATGCCAGTGATCTCTCAGTTCTGACCGCTCTCGAAACAGTTCTCCCTCCCTGGTGGCCCGGGGCTCCCGCACGGAAACCCAAAATACAGAAACGACAAGCCGACCGCATACTCGTGGTTCCCGAAGGAGCTGGCGCCGGTGCCGAAGGCGTGGGTGCTCGCACAGGGCCACAACCTCGTACTCTTCCGACAACACGAATCGGTGAGTTTGGCTTGTTTTTCCTCCAGATTTCCCCCAATACATATCCCACTGGCAACCTGTGTGTCACATACATGAGATGAGAGACGTACAACAATCCGTCCGTTCTCCGCCTGCTCGTCAGTGTATATTTGTTTGTTTGCATGCATGCACGGCACACGGACTACTCACTAAGTACCTTCTTGTTTCACAGGGCGGCCACTTCGCGGCAATGGAGAAGCCAAAGGAAATGCTCGAGGATATGGAGGAGTTTATCCAGAAGATCGGCTGGCCTGTGAAGAAGTGACGGAAAGAGAAGTACCGTGCGGAGATGGTGGTAGGGTCAGTTACCGCGGAGCACTTTAGAAGTATCCCAAGTCTGTGCTTACGTTGATTTACTACCTCGTATACTGGGCCCTGGTAACATCATCTACCTCCGGGATATCGGGAACAGAAAAATCAATGTCCGGGTTTCACAGCCGCTGACTGACTGCCGAAGGGATAATGAATCAGGGTTTCTGCTAATGGGATGGCTGGCTGCAGGATGAACGAACCAAACCCAGAGATCAAATACTCGATACTGTAGTCTCTGGCAGCAAACAGAACCAGTGTGGGTGATACTCTAGAACGACACGACCTGCCCGTTATCCATGTTGTCTAAGCCAATAATCAGTAGTGCCGTAAAGGATCGATCCTCGTCTCATGGGCACGGCCTGGCCCTGGCCGGCCTAACAAAACACGCACTGCTCGTCCCGACCAAGGGAGGCTTTGACATCGTCCCAAATCTCCGCGCACGGCGCGTCACACTCACTACCCATCCAGAGGAACCGGGCGAGCATGTCCTTGACAGACATCATCACCCGAGAGGCCTTCCCCCGGGGAACTTCCTCCTTTTTGCCGCTCTCGGCAACGGTAACGTATTGAACGAGGAACCCGACGAAACAGTCGTAGAGAAAGGTGCTCTTCACGGACCACACAGTCATGACCGCGGTCCAGAGGAGGAGAAGACGATAGATTTGATCGCGGTGCAGACACACGTCTGTTGTTGTGGCGTGTTGCAGACATCGCTTGACGCGCTCGGCGAACGAGACGGGGCCAAGTCCAGATCTGCGAGAAAGTCGAAGCCGGTGGCCAGATTGGGGCATCTCTAAGATGCGAGACTTCCGGGGTGGCTGGTGGGCTAGGAGCTGATGACCGGCGAAGAGGGCATGAATAGCGAAAAGGAGGGTTTCCTCTGAAACATGATCCATGTGTGGACATAGAAGCTTCATTTTCCCCCCCAGATCAGCATATGATAGTTCGGTGACTCTGTTGGTGTTAAGACTCACGAAGCAAGGGCAAAGGCAAGCCTGGGGAGCCGGATCGTATGTAATCCGCCTTTCATCTTGACGATCTCGACCACAGCCCTCATGTGCCGCTCTCAAGATCAATGAGGTTCAATCTGTTCTGGACACCAGCTGGGTGGCTTATGGTCGATCGACAAGGTATGAGACTCTCAAAGGTTCTCACAAACGAGATATCAGAGTAGTATCATCACCCCATTTTCGACAGTTCTTTTTGACAGTGTCAGACCTGGCTGTCCTGATTAGCAGGTGTGGGAGGCTATGCCACTGATATAGACACCCTGCAACGCATGTTTGGAGATATTCGAGGCCTTGTCAAATTCGTCAGCCAGATAAAGTTGGATTTTGACTGGGAAACCCCTCGGCATGAGATCTGGGGTTCTGGGCATCCCGGCTGAATGATTCTCAAGCCAAATACGAAGTACTGAGAACATCATTTGAACAAGATGCAAGCAAACTGCGGTTGGGTGAGACGAACTGAGCGAGCTGCTCGATTGGGACTAGTCGGTATATTGTTCTTACGAGGGCTGAGGGGCTATCCCAAAAACAGCCATAATCTTGGCATGTATCTTGGCATATCTGTCTCCTTTGCCCGATCAACTACTTTTCTAAGAAATCCGAACGACCTAACCGTCAAATATAGGGAAATGGACCCGAGCTTAGAGGACTTTAAGAGGCGGAAAGATCCTATTAGATCTCCAAAAGGGTAAGAACGCAATAACTCCCTTCCAATCCAGCACTGACGCCCCGAAGAGCTAGAGGTCAGCAAACTCCTCGGCCAGCTCCGACCAAGTTCTTCCTGCCTCTGAACATCGCCTTCTACGTCTGCTTTGCCTCACACCTTGTGGCAGCGCTGTATGCACCAATCCAGGACTGTGACGAGACCTTCAACTACTGGGAACCCTTGCACTACCTAAATCATGGCTACGGCCTGCAGACATGGGAGTACTCTCCAGAATTCAGCATTCGGAGCTGGGCATATATCGGCCTACACGCCCTCCCCGCAAAGCTCGCCGGCGTCTTTGGCGGGTCAAAGATGTTCGAGTTCTATTCCCTCCGCGTCATGCTGGCATTTGTCTGCGCGGCAACTGAAGTCCGTCTTTACTCGGCCATATCTCGGACCATCAGTCCGAGGGTCGGGGTGACTTACCTTATGATTGTTACCTTCAGTCCCGGATTCTTCTACGCCTCTGCTGCATTTTTGCCATCTAGCTTTGCCATGTACACATCCGCCTTAGGTCTGACCTCTTTTATGGACTGGCATGGAGGATCTAAAACTGCCGCCGGCATCATGTGGTTTGGAATCGGCGCTCTGCTCGGATGGCCATTCTCGGGAGCCCTGATTGTTCCTTTCGTTGTCGAAGAATGGCTCATGGCGGTAGTGGGACGAACAGATCTCTTCGAGACGTTCCGACGTTATCTAGACGGTGGTGCAAGGTGCTTGGTGGTTCTGGCCCTTCAAATCAGCATCGACACATTCTTTTACCACAAGATCGTGGTGGTGCCTTGGCGTATCGTTGCCTACAATATCTTTGGCGGCAAGGATCGCGGTCCTGACATATTCGGAACGGAACCATGGGACTACTACCTAAGGAATCTGCTGCTCAACTTCAATATGTGGTTTATCCTTGCTGCGATTTCAGGGCCACTTGTCCTGTTCCAGTCCATCATCCTGAACCAATACCCTACGAAACAAACGCTGCTCAGGACGCTGACCTTTCTCTCCCCGTTCTATGTGTGGCTGGTCATTTTCACCATTCAACCCCATAAGGAGGAAAGATTCATGTTTCCTGCGTACCCGTTCCTCGCTTTGAATGCCGCCATAGCATTCCACTCCCTTTTGGCGTGGATCGGATCGACGAACTCGTTCATCTTTGGCAAAATCCCAGCAAAACTGAAACTAGCAGTCATCTTACCGATTGTCCTTCTGGGCATTAATACCGGGCTGTTGCGTATCGTGGGGACGCTGACCGCATATCGGGCTCCATTGCAGATATACGACAGTCTCAAAGCATCGAACCTGACCCAGGAAGACAACACAGTCTGCTTCGGCAAGGATTGGTATCGCTTTCCGACTTCGCATTTTCTGCCTAACAATACCCATGCAAAGTTTGTCAAAAGTGAATTCGACGGGCTGCTACCTGGAGAGTTTCACGAGGGCAAGACTGGGTTTGGTTTCTTCCCGGGAACCTGGTTGGTGCCGCCTGGTATGAATGATCGAAATGAGGAAGATCCTGCAAAGTGTATCGATGTCCAGTACTGCACGTTCTTGGTCGATTCGTACATGCCGGGAATGGAAGCCACCGAGCACGAGCCACTATATGTTCTGGACGAGGATCGTTGGGAAAAGATCTCATGCGCACCATTTTTGGATGCGTCGAGGACCGGGACTCTTGCTAGGACGATTTGGATTCCCGAATCACCGGTCATACCACCCCGGTATCGTCGACATTGGGGTGAACACTGCCTGCTGCGGCGAAGAGAGGTATAAATATAGAGACCGTGACAAGAAGCGGTACAATTCTGGTATTAATACAGACAGTCGCGCTCGAATACTTGCCTGCGACATCCCAGTTCCGGCAGATCCACGGCCAAGTCCGCGAACCTGGAAATCATGAGGTCGCGGTGGCTTGCCGCACCCCAAACGCTGTCCCTGGGGACAAAGTGCGCCATGCCGAAAGAGGCATATTTGTCCAGTGTCGACGATGCGAAGTGATTGGACAGCACCAACCACAGGTCTTGAAATCAGTGGTTAATGATAAGAATCCAACTGGACGGCAGATACCCATGCGATATCAGCACCCGTACATCTGGAGGTTCTGGCGTTGTCTGGGGGGCTGGTCAGGAATAGCTTCTGGCCTCTCGGCGGATCAGCACGTCGAATCCAGATATCGATTCCATTTCCAAAAGCTCATATACCTGCCGGAGCATTTGGATTTTGTTCTGAGGGTTTGGAGTCTTCCCTTTCGCTTCCTTGAATCTACAGCGCCAGCCCTCGTTCCGCAAACCACCGCCATGGATTCGGAAACACTCAGACACAAGATCTCCGACCTCATCGCTAGGTCACAGCCGTACATTGAGCAAGCGAATGCCCATGTCCAGCCCTACGTGGAACAAGCCAACGACCATTTTCAGAAATCCAAACACCATTGCTCTTCGATCTTGAAATCGGCTCAGTCAGAGTTGCACACTTTGTCACAAAAGCCCCATTTCCAAGAAGTCCTCTATGGCCTGACCTTGTTCGTGTTCCTCGCCTTTGCAATCAGCCGTTTCGTCTCTTCCCGCCGCTCTCGGTACCCTACATCTCGCCCATCAACCCCACCGACACCACTCCTCGAAAAGGCCACTCATACCAAGGGGCCCAATGCCGCCCAGGCCCGGAAACCAGGGACGTGGATTCCGTCCGACTTTCAACGGCCCAAACCGCGAGCATACGAAAACTGGTCCATCGAGCACACAAAACCTCTGCCTTACCGCCCGTTTCGCTACGGACCCAAGTACTTCGTGACCATGGGTCTCCGTAACGTGAAATGGGACAACTGGATCGAGCTGGACAACCACTTCCCGCGCTTCCATGCGGACAAGGCGCGCCGAATCAAGGAACGCGGGCACAAGTGCTGCAGGACGGCGCCCGAGGCGTACCCCGCGGCGCTGGAACTCCTGGAGGAATTCCGCTCGTACCTGCCGGACCGCTACCCGACGCTGTACCAGCGGACGGAGAAGGGGATCAAGAACCTGTGGTCGGGCGAGGAACTGGACACGACGTCGCGGCCGCTGCCGGAGGACCCGATGCAGACGGCGGCACGCATGGTGCAGGACGACCTGGCGATCATGCTCGAGGGCGAGGACGGGCAGTACTACCTGCTCGCGGGGGCGGTGCTACTAGCAGGCTTCTGGCGGCTGGAGGACAAGTACCGGATGCCGCTGTCGGAGATCCACACGAGCGGGGACGTGCCGCAGTTCAAGGAGAAGCTGGAGAAGGGGATGATGAACTTCTTCCGGCGACTCAAGCCCGAGGAGCTGGTCGCGCGCAACAACTACTTCCTGCAGGTCGACGACGACCTGGCCTGGTCGTACTCGATCGGCAGCGAGGACAGCCCCTCGATCAGCTGGAACACGGCCGAGAAGAACCGCGCCGTCGAGCACCACTACTTCCGCTCCGAGCGGCAGACCCTGCGCCGCCTCCCGCGCTCCGGTGGCGTCGTCTTCACCATCCGCACCTACTTCCACCCGATCACTGAGATCGCCGAGGAGGACTACGTGCCCGGTCGCCTGGCCAGCGCCGTCCGCAGCTGGGGCGACGACGTCTCCCGCTACAAGGGCAAGGAAAAGTACGAGGCCGTCCTGCTCGAGTTCCTCGACAGGAAGCACCAGGAGCAGTTGGACCGGGGGCTCAAGCTGGACGAGGAGGACGAGAGGAGGAGTTATCCTTGGTGATGGTATCCCACATATCTTGAATGGATATTTATATACATGTACATCTCTCTCTCTCTCTCGATATGAATATATACATAACACGTGTATACGTTCGTTTCTGCTTGCTATCCTACAAAAAAAAAGAAAAAGAATTGACTATACCGAGATGAATGAATGTTGTCTCGTCTCGTCTCGTCGGAAAGAAACCATGCATTGCATGTACTGTAATCTGGTGTGTCTGTACGTGCACGCACACACACACACACACACACACACACATACCAGATTTGGTCCAGCGGGGAGAGTTCCTGGACACCCTCTCTACCAGTGATCACCTCCTACCAGCGCAAGGCTGGAAAAGAGTTGCTCATTTGCTCAAACCATAACGGCGCCTCCTACCCTATCCACTCGACCAAATTTTTTGAGGAGCATGAATGCATTGTCAGGATATACGCTGTAACCTCGTCTCTCGTTATCAATCACTTTTTTACACCCGACTTCTCCTGCCCCTGCTTTCCTCCCCCGGCTCTCCACCCTCGAGCTCTTCCTTCAGCCGCCTGCGTTCCCTCGCTTCCCTGACCATGTTCTCATCCCTCTGTCTGATCCAGGCGCATTCGTCCCGAAACTCGCAGACGCGACACTTCCACGCATCGACGACCTCGACGCCGCGCGGCTCCCGCTCTCCCTTCCAGAAAGACAGGGACGAGTAGAGAGAAGACGTGAGGAACGAGGGGTTGAAGAGGATGGATTTGCTGCCCAGCATGTGCGAGTGAGCCTCCGCAGTGCTATTCGCGTTTTCACTGCGGTGTTTGTAATTGGTGGAGATGTAACGTGCCGTGAGGATGGGCGAGAGTCGAGTTGGCTGGGACGGCGGCGTAGGGAGGGTGGAGAGGGAGGATGGTGGTGGAGCATTGGAATCTTGACTTGTATCACAGGAGTTGGTCACGCGTGGAATAGACCCCGGCGTCGAACTCGACGGGATGATGAACGTTGATCGAAACTGCTCCATCATAAAATCCCATAGACTAGCAAGGGTGTTGTGCTGGAGAAGGACATCCATGGAGTCCTGCGTTGACGGCGTCAGTTCCTCCCTGACATGGTCACTCTGTTGTGATAACTCAAAGACTTCTTGATTCAACCCGCCAATCTGCGCGATGAACCCGTCCGAGAATGTCTCGTGTATGTCAAATTTGTATCTCTCTGCCAGTTGAGAGAGGGAGAACTGTCCCTGTGCCATGTTTTCCAGCATGTGGTGGTAGAGATGTAGTTGGACTAGGGTCGGCCGAATAGCTGACCCTGTCGGTAAAGTGGGAGTGCCTCGTGTCTTGACATCGATGATATAGACCTTCCTCTCGTCATTCTGCTCTGACTTGCGCATCCTGCGGGCCGTAGGACTGCCACCGGCTTTTTGGCTGATATCGGCGTCGTCTCCCTTCAGAGCCTGTGACAGTGACTGACCTTCATCCCGGATCTCGTTTGTCACAAGGTAGTCCCTTATACTGGCCTGGTATTCTGGTAGCGGAGGTTCTGTATTCTTCTTTTCGAGCAGATTTCGACTCATCTCCTCGAGCTTGGGGTCAGGACACTCGTAAGTCAACTCGTCAATGACTCCGTTGACGATCTGTCCGCCTATTGATCCCCAGACCTCCAACTCGCGCGTCATTCCTTGTTCCCTGAGTGTTTTCAACCCTTGGATGATGTTCCATATCCGAAGACCCCAACCATCTTCTCTTTTTGAGATCTCCACAGGCACCGTGGCGTGTATCTCGTCTTCCAGCGCTTGGTGGACAGCACTACCCTGTTTCATTGCCGGTGTCCTCCTTTTCCGCCCGTGTTTCGTCAAGACATAGTAATATTGTAGCTCGCACCATGCGGGAGATATTAGATCGGTGACGGAGAGCGCTTTCATGGGAGGTTTGCGGAACCGTTCCAGAGGGGAACGAGCGTCTGACTCGGGAGGTTGCTGCTCCTGCTGGGCATCTTGTTTGGGTTGCGTGCGTCGTGGAGATGTCCCTCTTCCAGTCCTCACATCCTCTTCAGCAACAGGAGACAGTCTTTGCGAAGCTGGGCGCTGGTCAGCTTGTCAGCAGCCAAAAGTATTTGGGGGGTAGCTTTGTACAGAACTGACTGCTTTGGTCGCATACGTTCTGGACAGGGACACTGGTAACTGAGCGAGGCTCGAGTTCCCACTGACGTCTAGCTTCGAGGCCAGACACCTTAGGCAGACGAATGCCTCGAGGTGCTTCATAGTCTTCGATATCTGTCACGACCAGGGGCTCGATTTCCTGATCCGGCCTCGATTTGCCTGCGGCCTCGAGGAAAAGTCGGTCAATGATCTCGAGCGCTTCAGGATCTTCCCCAAAGTCGCTGTACTCGTCCGTGTCCTCATCATTCGGTGGCGAGCCTGGCCCGGTCCCCGTGTTCACCAGATCGAATTGCATCAATACATTGTGACGTTGGGTCGACATTGTCGGGGTTTGAATGCGGCCTGGAAGTGGGTTTGTAGCCGTCATGATTCATTAACCACCAGCGACGACTCGGACAACGTGAATGCAAAGCTGAAAACTTGCCCCGTCCCATCTTCAAATCCTAACATGACAGCCGTCTGCCTCGATATATTACTGGTTTGTTCCAACTTCAGGTCGCTTCATGTCGAAGGCCCGTCTGCCTGGCAGCGTCCTCGGAGGCGCGCTTTGGGGCTGCTCCTCACGCGTCGCGGGGCTAGACACGACACCCAATCGATAGGTTATTGGCATGGTTTTACTCTGTATTCTATGATCTAGCCCGCGATTGCTGCCTGTACGCTCTCTATCCTAGAACACGGCCTATCCAATACACCAATGCCACAGATATTTCCGCGATAGAACGGCATCCGTGAAACGAGCTAGTCAGCCTTCCCCTGAACACAGCAGATCTCTTCTTTCCAATAGACTGCTCTGCAGGCTGCTCCGAGTCATTCAAGCGCCGAATTGTACACCTGGACCGTCCGTGTTCACTTCGTCACCATGCTCTGCTTCAGCACTGGCCTGCTCAGCGTATCAATCTGCGCTTCAATTTTCTCTTCCGTCCGGTTGAGAAAACTCAGATAGCACTGCCACGCAACAGCAAAGACCCCGGAGAACATGAAGCGGTATTGAGGCGGAACAAAGGCAAAAGAGAACGCAGTCACCGCAGGCCATAATTTCAGAGAATTGAGCATGCTGATTGGCACCGCAGCTTGAATGCGCATAATGATGCCCATCGTGTGCTCGCCGGTCAGCAGGGCTTGCATGCCGAAAAAGTATGTGTTGAATACAGGAGTGAAAACAATTTGGTTTACAGCAACCTTTGTCGCGATGGAAGCGATTTTCGAGGGGTAGTTGAAACTCTGGCCCAGGAAGAGGAACCTGAACATCTCTGCTGTTAGCGCTCGCGGCTCCTGTGTTGTTCACCTTACATGCTCTGCTGGCGACCAACTGACGGTGTCTGGCCGTCAGGGTTGAATTTCATACCATTTGTAACCCGGTATCGCCGCGAGGGCTCCGATCGTCAACATCCTCAGCGTCCGCCATGGGTTGTACGGTTCCCCTCCTATGTCTTGCGCCAGAATATCACCGCAAAGGTAGGTTGTCAGGGTCGTGCATAGTTGCACAGTGTAAGGCCTCTTCAACTGGGTGCGGTGGAACCATTGGAAGAATGTAGAGACCGGTCCCAGACGATGATACCACAGTTGGATCGGGATATCGACGGGGTCGACGGGCTTCGAAGTCTCGCCGACGGGCACTTGATGAAGCGAGTGAGGAGGGATTGTATTTTGCGACCTTGGTCGAGGGCTCGTTGTGTCTTTCACAGGGCCAGAATTGGTTGAGTGCGACGAGTTTCTCTGCGCATGATGGTTGAGTCGGGCTCTCGCGCCCGACACTCGCACCCGAAACGACGTCGATCTGGCACTAGATTTGAGCGCTGCCCAGTGCAAAGGGTGCATTATTGACGGAATGCCATTATGGATAGAATTGTCAGCCGTCCGACCAGGAATATTTCTCTCCGTAAACACATCTGCAAAACTAAATTCCTCTACTGAAGGGCAAAATTTGCCGTGGTCGCCTTGGGGCCCACTGGTTGCGTGCCCGGATGACACCCGCCTGCAGCCCCCCGATGCAAGCCAAAATAGGCGCTCGTACCCCTGGATCGTCGCCTGGTAGCACCAAGCAGAGATAGCTTGTACCCAACTCGGATCTTGGACGCCCCATGCCCGCTCGCAACAGGCAGAATAACAAAAACCAAAATGTCTGAGATGGAAATTTGAAATTACAAATTTGTTTTCGTGTTAACCTGAATTGCATTCAGATTCTATCTGGTTGATGCAGCGCATTCTGCTGGTTCCATGTCATAGTCATGATGACTGGTATGATGCTGCGTGATGTACAAGCACGAGCAGAAGCAGAAGACGCCAGAAGTCCCCGTAACCACCCGTGATCAATGTTGTAAAAACCAATACAAGCCCCTATGAATTCATTCCGTTTCGCCTTGTGTCAACTCATGAAACCCCCCGTACTCAAATCATGACCATGATCAACGCTCCCAACCTGCCAGGTGACTACCGATTGAGATGTTGCAAGTTTCAACCCATCATCTAGGATCGCTCACCACGGAGACGGCGGGCAAGTTGGATGTCCTTGGACTGGATGGTGACACGCTTGGCGTGGATGGCGCACAGGTTGGTATCCTCAAAGAGAGAGACGAGGTAAGCCTCAACGGACTCTTGGAGAGCGCCGATGGCGGATGACTGGAAGCGAAGATCGGACTTGAAGTCTTGAGCGATCTCACGGACCAAACGTTGGAAGGGAAGTTTGCTGTTCATGTTATTAGCTGATAGTTCTTCCAGAGTAGCAGTGACGACGACATACCGGATGAGCAACTCAGTGGACTTCTGGTAACGACGGATCTCACGGAGAGCGACGGTACCAGGCTTATATCTGTGAGGCTTCTTGACACCTCCAGTGCTGGGTGCGGACTTGCGAGCTGCCTTGGAGGCGAGCTGC